GACCCCCTGAGGGTGGGATGGACCTTCTGGGGTGGGATGGACCCCTCAAGGGTGGGATGGACCCTTCTGGGGTGGGATGGACACCCTGGGGTGGGATGGACCTCCTGGGGTTGGGATGGACCTTCTGGGGTGGGATGGACACCCTGGGGTGGGATGGACACCCAAGGGTGGACACCCTGGGGGATGGACCTTCTGGGTGGGATGGACACCCTGGGGTGGGATGGACCTTCTGGGGTGGGATGGACCTTCTGGGGTGGGATGGACACCCTGGGGTGGGATGGACACCTCTGAGTGGGATGGACCCTCTAGGTGGGATGGACCCTCTGGGGTGGGATGGACCCCCTGGGGTGGGATGGACACCCTGGGGTGGGATGGACCTTCTGGGGTGGGATGGACACCCAAGGGTGGGATGGACCTTCTGGGGTGGGATGGACCTTCTGGGGTGGGATGGACACCTGGGGTGGGATGGACACTCCTGGGGTGGGATGGACCTTCTGGGGTGGATGACACCATGGGATGGACCTGCTGGGGTGGGATGGACCTTCTGGGGTGGGATGGACACCCCTGGGTGGGATGGACACCTGGGGTGGGATGGACCTTCTGGGGTGGGATGGACCTTCTAGGGTGGGATGGACCCCTGGGGTGGGGATGGACACCTGGGGTGGGATGGACACCCCTCCTTGGGGTGGGATGGACCCTCTGGGGTGGGATGGACACCCAAGGGTGGGATGGACCTCCTGGGGTGGGATGGACCCCCAAGGGTGGATGGACCCGAAGGGTGGGATGGACCTCTCGTGGGTGGGATGGACCTTCTGGGGTGGGATGGACCTCCTGGGCGTGGGATGGACCTCCTGGGGTGTGGATGGACCTCTCTGGTGGGATGGACACTCCCAATGGGTGGGATGGACCTTCTGGGGTGGGGATGGACCACTCCAAGGGTGGGATGGACCCCCTGGGGTGGGATGGACCTTCTGGGGTGGGATGGACCCCCTGGGGTGGGATGGACCCTCCTGAGGGTGGGATGGACCTTCTGGGGTGGGATGGACACCCCAAGGGTGGGATGGACCTCTAGGATGGATGGACCTTCTGGGGTGGGATGGACTCCCAAGGGTGGGATGGACCTTCTGGGGTGGGATGGACCTTCTGGGGTGGGATGGACCCCCATGGTCAGGATGGACCCCCATGGTCAGGATGGACCCCTGGGGTGGGATGGACTCCCCATGGTCAGGATGGACTCCCTGACCCCCCTGCCCCCCCAGGTACCCTGAGGTGAACATCCAGAACTTCACCACCAGCTGGAGGGACGGCCTGGCCTTCAACGCCCTCATCCACCGGCACAGGTGGGGGAGGGGACACCCTGGGGGGGCACCTCCTGCTCCTGGGCCAGGGACGGGTGGGGGGACCCCCTTGTGGGTGGTGGGACCTTCTTGGGGGTGCTGGGACCTCCCTGTGGGTGCTGGGACCTCGTTGGGTTCCTGATTGACCCCGAAGACCTGGTGGGACCTCCATGAGGGTGCTGGGACCTCTCTGGCCCAGGGCAGGTGTTGGGGGATGTGGGGAGGGGGCTGAGGTGACCTCTGTGACCTCTGTGCCCCCTCCCCAGGCCGGACCTCGTGGACTTCACCAAGCTGACCAAGTCCAACGCCACCCACAACCTGCAGGTGGCCTTCAACACGGCCGAGCAGCACCTGGGGCTCAGCAAGCTGCTCGACCCCGAGGGTACGGCCAGGGACACCTGCCCAGCTGGCCATCAGCTGGCCATCAGCTGTCCCTCTGTCCATCTGTCCTGTCCATCTGACCATCAGCTGGCCATCTGTCTGACCATCTGCCTGGTCCATCTGTCCATCAACTGTCCATCAGCTGTCCATCAGCTGTCCCCCTGTCCATCTGTCCTGTCCATCTGTCCATCTGTCCTGTCCATCTGTCCATCAACTGTCCATCAGCTGAGCTGTCCTCCATCTGTCCTGTCCAACTGTCCATCAGCTGTCCATCTGTCCATCAGCTGTCCCTCTGTCCATCTGTCCTGTCCATCTGTCCATCTGTCCTGTCCATCTGTCCATCAATTGTCCATCACCTGTCCATCAGCTGTCCTTCATCTGTCCATCAACTGTCCTGTCCATCTGTCCATCAGCTGTCCATCTGTCCAGCTGGCCTTCATCTGTCCATCAGCTGTCCATCTGTCCATCTATTCTGTCCATCATCCATCCATCCGTCCATCTGTCCATCATCTGTCCATCCATCTGTCCCTCTGTCCATCCATCCATCATCTGTCCGTCTGTCCATCTGCCCATCTGCCCATCTGTCCATCCATCTGTCCATCTGTCCATCCCTCTCTCCATCTGTCCATCCATCCATCATCTGTTCATCATCCATCCATCTGTCCCTCTGTCCCTCTGTCCCTCTGTCCATCTGTCCATCCATCCATCCATCTGTCCATCCATCTGTCCATCATCTGTCCATCCATCCATCCATCATCCATCCATCTGTCCATCCATCTGTCCATCCATCTGTCCATCCATCCATCCATCATCTGTCCATCATCTGTCCCTCTGTCCCCCTGTCCCTCTGTCCATCCATCTCTCCATCTGTCCATCATCCATCCATCTGTCCATCCATCCATCATCTGTTCATCATCCATCCATCTGTCCCTCTGTCCCCCTGTCCCTCTGTCCATCCATCCCACCCAGGCTGGGCCATCTCCCCCGGTTTTGGGGGGTGGGGATTTTGGGGTTGGGATGCCCTGGTGGATCCAGGGTGGGGGGAGGGGGATGGGGGGGGTGCTGATTGGGAGCTGGAGGGATGAATTTTTGGGAAGGGGTGACCTTTGCCCCTCCCCCACCTGGAGAGTTGGATTTTTGGGAAGGGGTGACCTTTGCCCCTCCCCCACCTGGAGGGATGGATTTCTGGGACCTTTGCCCCTCCCCCACCTGGAGGGATGGATTTTTGGGACCTTTGCCCCCCTCCCCCACCTGGAGGGATGGATTTTTGGGAAGGGGTGACCTTTGCCCCTCCCCCACCTGGAGGGATGGATTTCTGGGACCTTTGCCCCCCTCCCCCACCTGGAGGGATGGATTTTTGGGACCTTTGCCCCCCTCCCCCCCCAGATGTGAACATGGAGGAGCCGGATGAGAAGTCCATCATCACCTACGTCGTGTCCTTCTACCACTACTTCTCCAAGATGAAGGCCCTGGCCGTGGAGGGGAAGCGAATCGGGAAGGTGGGGCTGGATTGGGATGGGGGGGTCCCACCCCTTGGACCAGGGGGTTCCCAGCCCTTGGTCAGCACCTTGGGCCACCCCTTGGACCATCTCTTGGTCCATCCCTTGGTCCATCCCTTGGTCCACCCCTTGGTCCATCCCTTTGTCCATCCCTTGGGCCATCTTTTGGTCCACCCCTTTGTCCACCCCTTGGTCCATGGAATGTCCCATCCCTTTGTCCACCCCTTGGTCCATGGAATGTCCCATCCCTTTGTCCACCCCTTGGTCCACCCCTTGGTCCATGGAATGTCCCATCCCTTTGTCCATCCCTTTGTCCACTCCTTGGTCCATCCCTTGGTCCATCCCTTTGTCCACCCCTTGCTCCATGGGATGTCCCATCTCTTGGTCCATCCCTTGGGCCATGGAATCCATGGAATGTCCCATCCCTTGGTCCACCCCTTGGTCCATCCCTTGGTCCATCCCTTGGTCCATCCCTTTGTCCATCCCTTTGTCCACCCCTTGCTCCATGGGATGTCCCATCCCTTGGTCCATCCCTTGGGCCATCCCTTGGGCCATCTTTTGGTCCATCCCTTGGGCCATCCCTTTGTCCATCCCTTGGTCCATCCCTTGGTCCATCTCTTGATCCATCCCTTGGTCAACCCCTTGGTCCATCCCTTGGGCCATCTCTTGGTCCATCCCTTTGTCCACCCCTTGCTCCATCCCTTGGTCCATGGGATGTCCCATCCCTTTGTCCATCCCTTGGCCCATCCCTTTGTCCACCCCTTGGTCCACCCCTTGGTCCATCTCTTGGTCCATGGAATGTCCCATCCCTTTGTCCATCCCTTTGTCCATCCCTTTGTCCATCCCTTGGTCCACCCCTTGGTCCATCCCTTGGTCCATCCCTTGGTCCATCCCTTTGTCCATCCCTTGGTCCACCCCTTGGTCCATCCCTTTGTCCACCCCTTGGTCCACCCCTTGGTCCACCCCTTTGTCCATCCCTTGGTCCATGGAATGTCCCATCTCTTGGTCCATCCCTTGGTCCATCTCTTGGTCCACCCCTTGGTCCACCCCTTGGTCCACCCCTTAGTCCATCCCTTGGTCCATGGAATGTCCCATCCCTTTGTCCATCTCTTGGTCCATGGAATGTCCCATCTCTTGGTCCATCCCTTGGTCCATCCCTTGGTCCACCCCTTGGTCCATCCCTTTGTCCACCCCTTGGTCCACCCCTTGGTCCACCCCTTGGTCCATGGGATGTCCCACCCCCTGGTTGGCCCCAGGTGACCCCTCCAGCCCCGTGGGACCCTCCAGAAGGTCCCACAACTCCCCTCGAGATCCCCCCACCATGTCCCCCCCTGTCCCCATGGATGTCCCACCCCTTGTCCATGGATGTCCCCCCCCATCCCCATGGATGTCCCACCCTTTGGTCCATGGGATGTCCCATCCCTTGCTCCATGGGATGTCCCACCCTTGTCCCCATGGATGTCCCATCTCTTGGTCCATCCCTTGCTCCATGGGATGTCCCACCCCTTTTTCCATCCCTTGCTCCATGGGATGTCCCACCCTTGTCCCCATGGATGTCCCATCTCTTGGTCCATCCCTTCCTCCATGGGATGTCCCCCCCCTTTTTCCATCCCTTTCTCCATGGGATGTCCCACCCCTGGCTGACCCCAGGTGACCTCCAGAAGGTCCCCCATCCAGAAGGTCCCCCATCCAGAAGGTCCCCCCATTTCCCCCCCAGGTTCTGGAGCAGGTGATGGAGATCGGGGCCATCACGGCTCGTTACGAGGCGCTGGCGGCCGAGCTGCTGGCCTGGATCCACCAAACCATCGCCGTCATCGGCCACCAGAAGTTCGCCAACTCCCTGGCCGGGGTCCAGCAGCAGCTCCAGGCCTTCACCACCTTCTGCACCCTCGAGAAACCCGTCAAGTGAGGCCCTCATGGGGGGGGGAACCCCTCATGGTTGGGTGGTGGGACCTCATTGGGGTTGGTGGGATCTCTCTGAGCTCCTGGCTGACCAGGGATGGGTGGTGGGACCTCTTTAGGGATGGTGGGATTTCATTGGGTTCCTGTTTGACCAGGGATGGGTGGTGGGACCTCTTTAGGGATGGTGGGATTTCATTGGGTTCCTGTTTGACCAGGGAGGGGTGGTGGGACCTCTCTGAGCTCCTTGTGGACTGGGAAGGGGTGGTGGGACCTCATTGAGCTCCTTGATTGGATGTCTTTGACCTCATTGACCCAGGATGGGTGGTGGGACCTCATTGAAGGTGGTGGGACCTCATTGAGGGTGGTGGGAGCTCATTGGGGGTGGTGGGACCCCATCAGGGTGGGTGGGACCTCATTGGGGTGGTGGGAGCTCACTGGGGTGGTGGGAGCTCATTGGGGGTGGTGGGAGCTCATGAGGGGTCCTGGGACATCATCAGGGTTGGTGGGACCTCATTGGGGGTGGTGGGACCTCATTGGGGGTGGTGGAACCTCATTGGGGGTGGTGGGAGCTCATTGGGGGTGGTGGGACCTCATGAGGGGTGGTGGGACCTCAAGAGGGGTGCTGGGACCTCATGAAGGGTGGTGGGACCTCATTGGGGTTGGTGGGACCTCATGAGGGTGGTGGGACCTCATTGGGGTTGGTGGGACCTCATTGGGGTTGGTGGGACCTCATTGAGGGTGGTGGGAGCTCATTGGGGGTGGTGGGAGCTCATTGAGGTTGGTGGGACCTCATTGAGGGTGGTGGGAGCTCATTGGGGGTGGTGGGACCTCATTGGGGTTGGTGGGACCTCATTGGGGGTGGTGGGACCTCATGAGGGGTGGTGGGACCTCATTGGGGTGGTGGGAGCTCACTGGGGTGGTGGGAGCTCATTGAGGGTGGTGGGACCTCATTGGGGGTGGTGGGATCTCATTGGGGTGGTGGGACCTCATTGGGGGTGGTGGGACCTCATCAGGGGTGGTGGGACCTCATTGGGGGTGATGGGACCTCATCAGAAGTGGTGGGACCTCATAGGGGGTGGTGGGACTTTGTCAGGGGTGGTGGGACCTCATTGGGGTTGGTGAGACCTCATCAAAGTGGGTGGGACCTCACTGGGGTGGTGGGAGCTCATCAGGGGTGGTGGGACCTCATTGGGGGTGCTGGGAGCTCAGGAAGGATGGTGGGACCTCATTGGGGTGGTGGGACCTCATTGGGGTTGGTGGGACCTCATTGGGGGTGCTGGGACCTCATCAGGGGTGCTGGGACCTCATTGGGGGTGGTGGGAGCTCAGGAAGGGTGGTGGGACCTCACTGGGGTTGGTGGGACCTCATTGGGGTTGGTGGGACCTCATTGGGGTTGGTGGGACCTCATTGGGGGTGGTGGGACCTCATTGGGGGTGGTGGGACCTCATTGAGGGTGGTGGGAGCTCATTGAGCTCCTTGTGGACTGGGGATGGGTGGTGGGACCTCTCTGGTCTCCTGGCTGACCAGGGATGGGTGGTGGGACCTCCTGGCTGACCTGGGATGGGTTGTAGGACCTCTCTGAGCTCCTGGCTGACCAGGGATGGGTGGTGGGATCTCGTCAGGGGTGGTGGGACCTCTCTGAGCTCCTGGCTGACCAGGGATGGGTGGTGGGATCTCATCAGGGATTTTTGGACCTCTCTGAGCTCCTGGCTGACCAGGGATGGGTGGTGGGACCTCATTGAGCTCCTGGTTGACCTGGGATGGGTGGTGGGACCTCCTGGCTGACCTGGGATGGGTGATGGGACCCCCTGGCTGACCTGGGATGGGTGGTGGGATCTCATCAGGGATTTTTGGACCTCTCTGAGCTCCTGGCTGACCTGGGATGGGTGGTGGGACCTCATCAAGGGTGGTGGGACCTCATTGGGTTCCTGGTTGACCAGGGATGGGTGGTGGGACCTCTTTAGGGATGGTGGGACCTCATTGGGCTCCTGATTGACCAGAGAAGGGTGGTGGGATCTCATCAGGGATTTTTGGACCTCTCTGGTCTCCTGGTTGACCAGGGATGGGTGGTGGGAGCTCTCTGAGTTCCTGGTTGACCAGGGATGGGTGGTGGGAGCTCTCTGAGTTCCTGTTTGACCAGGGATGGGTGGTGGGAGCTTGCTGAGTTCCTGGTTGACCAGGGATGGGTGGTGGGACCTCCTGGTTGACCCGGGATGGGTGGTGGGACCTCTTTAGGGATGGTGGGATTTCATTGGGTTCCTGTTTGACCAGGGATGGGTGGTGGGACCTCCTGGTTGACCCGGGATGGGTGGTGGGACCTCTCTGAGCTCCTGATTGACCAGGGATGGGTGGTGGGACCTCCTGGCTGACCAGGGATGGGTGGTGGGACCTCTCTGGTCTCCTGGCTGATCTGGGATGGGTGGTGGGACCTCTCTGAGCTCCTGGCTGACCAGGGATGGGTGGTGGGACCTCCTGGCTGACCAGGGATGGGTGGTGGGACCTCTCTGGTCTCCTGGCTGACCAGGGATGGGTGGTGGGACCTCTCTGAGCTCCTCCTTGACCAGGGATGGGTGGTGGGACCCCCTGGCTGACAGAGGGGGTGGTTCCTGCCCTCACCTGGCCCTGTCCCCCCTGCAGGTTCCAGGAGAAGGGCAACCTGGAGGTCCTGCTCTTCACCATCCAGAGCAGACTCCGGGCCACCAACCGCAAGCTCTACGTGCCCAGCGAGGGCAGGAGCATCTCTGACATCAACAAGGTCTGGGGGGCACGGGGAGGCCTGGGGGGACCTCATGGGGGTGGAGGGACCTTCTGGGGCTCCTCATTGACCAGGGAGGGGTGGTGGAACCTCGAGGATCAGGGAGGGTGGTGAGAGCTCACCAGGGGTGGTGGGACCTCACTGGGGGTGGTGGGACCTTCTGGGGCTCCTCATTGACCAGGGAGGGGTGGTGGGACCTCACCAGGGGTGGTGAGAGCTCATCAGGAGTGGTGGGACCTTCTTGGGCTCCTCATTGACCAGGGAGGGGTGATGGGACCTCACCAGGGGTGGTGGAACCTCCTCAGAGGTGGTGGGACCTCATGGGGGATGGTGGGACCTTCTGGGGCTCCTCATTGACCAGGGAGGGGTGGTGGGACCTCAAGGATCAGGAAGGGGTGGTGGGATCTCAGTGGTGGTTGTGGGACCTTCTTGGACTCCTCATTGACCAGGGAGGGGTGGTGGGACCTCCAGGATCAGGAAGGGGTGGTGAGAGCTCATCAGGAGTGGTGGGATCTCATTGGGGGTGTTGGGACCTTCTTGAGCTCCTCATTGACCAGGGAGGGCTGGTGGGACCTCACTGGGGGTGGTGGGACCTTCTTGAGCTCCTCATTGACCAGGAAGGGCTGGTGGGAGCTCATTGGGGGTGGTGGGATCTCATTGGGGGTGTTGGGACCTTCTTGAGCTCCTCATTGACCAGGGAGGGGTGGTGGAACCTCCAGGATCTGCGAGGGGTGGTGAGAGCTCACCAGGGGTGGTGGGACCTTCTTGGGCTCCTCACTGACCAGGAAGGGCTGGTGGGACCTCACTGAGCTCCTCATTGACCAGGAAGGGCTGGGGGGACCTCAGAGGGTGTGGTGGGACCTCAGTGGGGCTGGTGGGACCTCCTTGGGGGTGGTGGGACCTTCTTGAGCTCCTCATTGACCAGGGAGGAGTGATGGGACCTCACCAGGGCTGGTGGGACCTCAGTGGGGGTGGTGGGACCTTCTTGAGCTCCTCATTGACCAGGAAGGGCTGGTGGGACCTCATTGGGGGTGGTGGGACCTTTTTGAGCTCCTCATTGACCATGAAGGGCTGGGGGGACCTCCTTGGGGTTGGTGGGACCTCATTGGGGGTGGTGGGACTTTCTTGAGCTCCTCCTTGACCATGAAGGCGTGGTGGGACCTCACTGAGCTCTTCATTGACCAGAAAGGGCTGGGGGGACCTCAGTGGGGGTGGTGGGACCTCATGGGGGGTGGTGGAACCTCAGTAGGGGTGGTGGGACCTCAGTGGGGGTGGTGGAACCTCATTGAGCTCTTCATTGACCAGGAAGGGCTGGTGGGACCTCATTGGGGGTGGTGGGACCTTCTTGAGCTCCTCATTGACCATGAAGGGCTGGGGGAACCTCAGAGGGTGTGGTGGGACCTCCTTGGGGGTGATGGGACCTTTTTGAGCTCTTCATTGACCAGGAAGGGCTGGTGGGACCTCATTGGGGGTGGTGGGACCTCACTGAGCTCTTTCATTGACCAGGAAGGGCTGGGGGACCTCAGTGGGGGGTGGTGGGACCTTCTTGAGCTCCTCATTGACCAGGAAGGGCTGGGGGGACCTCCCTGGGGCTGGTGGGACCTCCTTGGGGCTGGTGGGAGCTCATTGGGGGTGGTGGGAGCTCATTGGGGGTGGTGGGACCACATTGAGGGTGGTGGAACCTCATTGGGGGTGGTGGGACCACATTGGGGGTGGTGGGACCTCATCAGGGGTCCTGGGACCTCATCAGGGGTCCTGGGACCTCATCTGGGGTGGTGGGACCTCAAGAGGGGTGCTGGGACCTCATGAAGGGTGGTGGGACCTCATTAGGGTTGGTGGGACCTCATTGGGGTTGGTGGGACCTCATTAGGGCTGGTAGAACCTCCTTGGGGTTGGTGGGACCTCATTAGGGCTGGTAGAACCTCCTTGGGGCTGGTGGGACCTCATTGGGGGTGGTGGGACCTCCTTGGGGCTGGTGGGACCTCATTAGGGCTGGTAGAACCTCCTTGGGGCTGGTGGGACCTCATTGGGGGTGGTGGGACCTCCTTGGGGCTGGTGGGACCTCATTAGGGCTGGTAGAACCTCCTTGGGGCTGGTGGGACCTCGTTGGGCTGGTGGAACCTCCTTGGGGTTGGTGGAACCTCCTTGGGGTTGGTGGGACCTCCTTGGGGGTGGTGGAACCTCCTTGGGGCTGGTGGGACCTCCTTGGGGGTGGTTGGACCTTCTTGAGCTCCTCATTGACCAGGGAGGGCTGGGGGGACCTTGTGGATCAGGAAGGGTTGGTGGAACCTCCTTGGGGCTGGTGGGACCTCCTTGGGGCTGGTGGGACCTCCTTGGGGCTGGTGGGACCTCCTTGGGGCTGGTGGGACCTCCTTGGGGTTGGTGGAACCTCGTTGGGCTAGTGGAACCTCCTTGGGGCTGGTGGGACCTCCTTGGGGTCGGTGGGACCTCCCTAGGGCGTGTGGGACCTCCTTGGGGCTGGTGGGACCTCGTTGGGGCTGGTGGGACCTCCTTTGGGTTGGTGGGACCTCCTTGGGGCTGGTGGAACCTCCTTGGGGCTGGTGGGACCTCCTTGGGGCTGGTGGGACCTCCTTGGGGCCGGTGGGACCTCCTTGGGGCTGGTGGAACCTCCTTGGGGCTGGTGGGACCTCCTTGGGGCTGGTGGAACCTCCTTGGGGTTGGTGGGACCTCACCAGGGCTGGTGGGACCTCCTTGGGGCTGGTGGAACCTCACCAGGGCTGGTGGGACCTCCTTGGGGCTGGTGGAACCTCACCAGGGCTGGTGGGACCTCACTGGGGCTGGTGGGACCTCCTTGGGGCTGGTGGGACCTCACTAGGGCTGGTGGGACCTCCTTGGGGCTGGTGGGACCTCCCTGGGGCTGGTGGGACCTCCTTGGGGCTGGTGGGACCTCCTTGGGGTTGGTGGGACCTCCTTGGGGCTGGTGGGACCTCCTTGGGGCTGGTGGAACCTCACCAGGGCTGGTGGGACCTCCTTGGGGCTGGTGGGACCTCCTTGGGGCTGGTGGAACCTCACCAGGGCTGGTGGGACCTCCTTGGGGCTGGTGGGACCTCCTTGGGGCTGGTGGGACCTCGTTGGGCTGGTGGAACCTCACCAGGGCTGGTGGAACCTCCTTAGGGCTGGTGGAACCTCCTTGGGGTTGGTGGAACCTCCTTGGGGCCGGTGGAACCTCACCAGGGCTAGTGGGACCTCACTGGGGCTGGTGGGACCTCCTTGGGGCTGGTGGGACCTCCTTGGGGCTGGTGGGACCTCACCAGGGTTGGTGGGACCTCCTTGGGGCCAGTGGGACCTCCTTGGGGCTGGTGGAACCTCCTTGGGGCTGGTGGAACCTCCTTGGGGCTGGTGGTACCTCCTTGGGGCTGGTGGAACCTCCTTGGGGCTGGTGGGACCTCCTTGGGGTTGGTGGGACCTCCTTGGGGCTGGTGGGACCTCATTAGGACTGGTAGAACCTCCTTGGGGCTGGTGGAACCTCCTTAGGGCTGGTGGGACCTCCTTGGGGCTGGTGGAACCTCCTTAGGGCTGGTGGGACCTCCTTGGGGTTGGTGTGACCTCCTTGGGGTTGGTGGGACCTCATTAGGACTGGTAGAACCTCCTTGGGGCTGGTGGAACCTCCTTGGTGCCGGTGGAACCTCCTCAATCTCCTCCCTGCTTTTTTTGACCTCCCACATCTCCGAGGGTTTCTCTTCCTGATGAGAACCCCCCATGACCTCGGGGGGGACCTCCCGGTGACCCCCCCTGTCCTCGGTGTCCCCCCCAGGCCTGGGGCCGGCTGGAGAAGGCGGAGCACGAGCGGGAGGTGGCCCTGAGGGAGGAGCTGATCCGGCAGGAGAAGCTGGAGCTGCTGGCCCAGCGCTTCGACCACAAGGCCGGCATGAGGGAGAGCTGGCTCAGCGAGAACCAGCGCCTCGTGTCCCAGGTGGGGAGGGGGAGGGGGTCCTGGAGGACCTGCAGGTCCTTGGATAGGGTGGGAAGGACCTACAGATCCTTGGGGGGACCTTCAGATCCTTGGGAGGACCTGCAGGTCCTTGGATGGGGTGGGAAGGGCTCCTGGAGGACCTTCTGATCCTTGGGGGGACCTTCAGATCCTTGGATGGGGTGGGAAGGGCTCCTGGAGGACCTTCAGATCCTTAGATGGGGTGGGAAGGGCTCCTGGAGGACCTGCAGGTCCTGGGGGGGACCTTCTGATCCTTGGGGGGACCTTCAGATCCTTGGGGGGACCTGCAGGTCCTTGGGTGGGGTGGGAAGGGATCCTGGAGGACCTGCAGGCCCTTGAGGGGACCTTCAGATCCTTGGGTGGGGTGGGAAGGGCTCCTCAAGGACCTTCAGATCCTTAGATGGGGTGGGAAGGGCTCCTGGAGGACCTTGAGCTCCTGGAGGTCCTGCAGGTCCTGGGGGGAACCTTCAGATCCTTGGGGGGACCTTCAGATCCTGGGGAGGACCTGCAGATCCTTGGGTGGGGTGGGAAGGGCTCCTGGAGGATCTTGAGCTCCTGGAGGACCTGTAGATCCTTGGGGGGACCTTCAGATCCTTGGGTGGGGTGGTCTGGGCTCCTGGAGGACCTGCAGGTCCTGGGGGGAACCTTCAGATCCTTGGGGGGACCTTCTGATCCTTGGGTGGGGTGGGAAGGGCTCCTGGAGGACCTTGAGCTCCTGGAGGACCTGCAGGTCCTGGGGGGACCTTCAGATCCTGGGAGGGCTGGTCTGGGGTGGAAAGGGCTCCTGGAGGACCTGCAGGTCCTGGGGGGGACCTTCAGATCCTTGGGGGGACCTTCAGATCCTTGGGGGGACCTTCAGATCCTTGGGGGGACCTTCTGATCCTTGGGTGGGGTGGGAAGGGCTCCTGGAGGACCTGCAGGTCCTTGGGGGATGGGGTGGGGTGGGGGAATGGGTGGAACCCAAGGCTTGGGTGGTGGGACCTCAGCCAGGGTGGTGGGACCTCAGTGAGGGTAGTGGGACCTCCTTGACCAGGGAGAGGGGTGATGGGACCTCACTGGGTTCCTGGTTGATTGGGGAAGGGTGGTGCCACCTCCTTGACTGTGAAGGTCTGGTGGCACCTCCTTGAGCAGAGGCTTTGTGTGGCCTCCTGGCTCTCCTTGACCCTGGAGGGGGTGATGGGACCTTCTCAAGCTCTGGTTGATTGGGGAGGGTGGTGGCACCTCTTGGCAGGCTGAGGAGAGGAGTGGTGGCACCTCATCAGCCTGAAGGTCTGGTGGCACACCTCCTTGAAGAGAAGAGGGGGTGTTGTGACCTCCTGAAGCTCCTCCTTGACTCTGGAGGGGTGGTGGCACCTCCTTGACCAGGGACAGGGATGTTGTGACCTCATTGTGCTCCTGGTTGATTTTGGAGGGGTGGTGGCACCTCCTTGACCAGGGACAGGGATGTTGTGACCTCCTGAAGCTTCTCCTTGACCCTGGAGGGGTGATGGGACCTCACTGGGCTCCTGGTTGATTTTGGAGGGGTGGTGACACCTCCTTGACCCTGAAGGTCTGGTGGCACCTCCTTGAGCAGAGAGAGGGGTTGTTGTGACCTCCTGAAGCTCCTCCTTGACCCTGGAGGGGTGGTGGCACCTCCTTGAGCAGAGAGAGGGGTGTAGGGACCTCCCCAAGCTCCTCCTTAACCCTGGAGGTCTGATGGGACCTTCTCAAGCTCCTCCTTGACCCTGGAGGGGTGGTGGCACCTCCTTGGGCTCCTGGTTGATTTTGGAGGGGTGGTGGCACCTCCTTGAGCAGGGACAGGGGTGTTGTGACCTCCTGAAGCTCCTCCTTGACCTGAAGGTCTGGTGGCACCTCCTTGAGCAGAGAGAGGGGTGTTGTGAACTCCTTGTGCTCCTGGTTGATTTTGGAGGGGTGGTGGCACCTCCTTGACCAGGGAGAGGGCTTGTTGTGACCTCCTGAAACTCCTCCTTGACCTGGTCTGGTGGCACCTCCTTGAGCAGAGAGAGGGGTGTTGTGACCTCCTTGTGCTCCTGGTTGATTTTGGAGGGGTGGTGCCACCTCCTTGACCAGGGACAGGGATGTTGTGACCTCCTCAAGCTCCTCCTTGGCCCTGGAGGGGTGTTGGGACCTCCTTGACCAGGGAAAGGAGTTGTTGTGACCTCCTTGTGCTCCTGGTTGATTTTGGAGGGGTGTTGTGACCTCCTTGGGCTCCTGGTTGATTTTGGAGGGGTGGTGACACCTCCTTGAACAGAGAGAGGTCGTGTTGTGACCTCCTCAAGCTCCTCCTTGCCCCTGGAGGGGTGTTGTGACCTCACTGGGCTCCTGGTTGATTTTGGAGGGGTGGTGGCACCTCCTTGACCAGGGACAGGGATGTTGTGACCTCCTGAAGCTCCTCCTTGACCCTGGAGGGGTGTTGGGACCTCCTTGACCAGAGAGAGGGGGGTGGTGGCACCTCCTTGACCAGAGAGAGGTCTTGTGACCTCCTGAAGCTCCTCCTTGACTCTGGAGGGGTGATGGGACCTCCTGAAGCTCCTCCTTGACTCTGGAGGGGTGGTGGCACCTCCTTGAGCAGGGACAGGGATGTTGTGACCTCCTGAAGCTCCTCCTTGACCCTGGAGGGGTGATGGGACCTTCTCAAGCTCCTGGTTGATTTTGGAGGGGTGGTGGCACCTCCTTGGTCATGAAGGTCTGGTGGCACCTCCTTGAGCAGGGAGGGGGGTGTTGTGACCTCCTTGGGCTCCTGGTTGATTTTGGAGGGGTGGTGGCACCTCCTTGACCAGGGAGAGGGGAGTGGTGGCACCACCTTGGCCTGAAGGTCTGGTGGCACCTCCTTGAGCAGAGAGAGGGGTGTTGGGACCTCCTCAAGCTCCTCCTTGACCCTGGAGGGGTGATGGTACTTCCTCGGGCTCCTGGTTGATTTTGGAGGGGTGGTGGCACCTCCTTGAGCAGGGAGAGGAGTGTTGTGACCTCCTGAAGCTCCTCCTTGACCCTGGAGGGGTGTTGGGACCTTCTCAAGCTCCTGGTTGATTGGGGAGGGGTGGTGTCACCTCCTTGGCCATGAAGGTCTGGTGGCACCTCCTTGACCGGAAGGTCTGGTGGCACCTCCTTGGCCATGAAGGTCTGGTGGCACCTCCTTGAGCAGAGAGAGGGGTGTCGTGACCTCCTTGGGCTCCTGGTTGATTTTGGAGGGGTGGTGGCACCTCCTTGACCAGGGACAGGGATGTTGTGACCTCCTGAAGCTCCTCCTTGACCCTGGAGGGGTGATGGGACCTCCTGAAGCTTCTCCTTGACCCTGGAGGGATGTTGTGACCTCCTGAAGCTTCTCCTTGGCCCTGGAGGGATGTTGGGACCTCCTGAAGCTCCTCCTTGACCCTGGAGGGGTTGTTGTGACCTCCTGAAGCTCCTCCTTGACCAGGGACAGGGATGTTGTGACCTCCTGAAGCTCCTCCTTGCCCCACCCCCCCTCCCCCCCAGGACAACTTTGGCTACGACCTGCCTGGTTGATTTTGGAGGGGTGGTGGCACCTCCTTGACCAGGGACAGGGATGTTGTGATCTCCTCAAGCTCCTCCTTGACTCTGGAGGGGTGGTGGCACCTCCTTGACCAGGGAGAGGAGTGTTGTGATCTCCTCAAGCTCCTCCTCCCCCCCCAGGACAACTTTGGCTACGACCTGCCTGGTTGATTTTGGAGGGGTGGTGGCACCTCCTTGACCAGGGACAGGGATGTTGTGATCTCCTCAAGCTCCTCCTTGAGCAGGGACAGGGATGTTGTGACCTCCTCAAGCTCCTCCTCCCCCCCCAGGACAACTTTGGCTACGACCTGCCTGGTTGATTGGGGAGGGGTGGTGGCACCTCCTTGAGCAGGGACAGGGATGTTGTGACCTCCTCAAGCTCCTCCCCTCCCCCCCAGGACAACTTTGGCTACGACCTGCCGGCGGTGGAGGCGGCCATGAAGAAGCACGAGGCCATCGAGGCCGACATCTCCTCGTACCAGGAGCGCATCCAGGTGGTGGTGGAGCTGGCCCTGGAGATGGAGGCCGAGGGCTACTACGACACCAAGAGGATCAGCGCCCAGAAGGACAACATCCTGCGCCAGTGGGGCCTCCTCACCCAGCTGGTGGCGGCCCGGAGAGCCCGCCTGGAGCAGAACCTGGCCCTGCAGAAGATCTTCCAGGAGATGGTCTACATGATCGACTGGATGGAGGAGTATGCAGGTGGGGTGGAGCTGGGGGAGGGGAGGGGAAGAATGTGGTGGAGTGGGCAGGGGGAGGTTTTGATGGACCATGGAGTGGGCAGGGGGAGGTTTTGGTAGATCATGGAGTGGGCAGGGTGAGGTCTTGGTGGATCATGGAGTGGTCAGGATGAGGTTTTGGTAGATCATGGAGTGGGCAGGGGGAGGTTTTGGTGGATCATGGAGTGAGCAGGATGAGGTCTTGGTGGACCATGGGAGAAGGGACATCCCAAGGTCTTGGTGGACCATGGAGTGGTCAAGATGAGGTTTTGTTGGACCATGGAGTGGTCAGGATGAGGTCTTGGTGGATCATGGGATGGTCAGGATGAGGTCTTGGTGGATCATGGAGTGGGCAGGATGAGGTCTTGGTGGATCATGGAGTGGGCAGGATGAGGTCTTGGTGGATCATGGGATGGTCAGGATGAGGTCTTGGTGGACCATGGAGTGGTCAAGATGAGGTTTTGTTGGACCATGGAGTGGTCAGGATGAGGTCTTGGTGGACCATGGGAGAAGGGACAACCCAAGGTCTTGGTGGACCATGGAGTGGTCAAGATGAGGTTTTGATGGACCATGGAGTGGGCAGGATGAGGTCTTGGTGGATCATGGGAGAAGGGTCAAACAAGGTCTTGATGGACCATGGAGTGGTCAGGATGAGGTCTTGGTGGACCATGAAAGAAGGGTCAACCCAAGGTCTTGAATGACCAAGTTGAGGTCTTTGTGGACCATGGAAGAAGGGTCAACCCAAGGTCTTGTAGACCACAGAAAGGTCCACCCAAAGTCTTGGTGGACCATGGCAGAAAAGGGGTCAACCAAGGTCTTGATAGACCATGGAATGGCCCAGCTGAGGTCTTGGTGGACCATGGGAGAAAGGTCAACCCAAGATCTTGATGGACCACCAAAAGGTGTCTCTCTCGTTGTCCTGCAGGTCCTCCTGGTGTCCAAGGACCTGGGCAAGCACCTGCTGGAGGTGGAGGACCTTCTGCAGAAGCAGGGGCTGCTGGAGGCCGACATCGCCGCGCAGACCGAGCGGGTCCAGGCCCTCAACGCCGCCGCCCTCACCTTCGCTGAGCTGGAGGGTAACGGGGGGCACTGGGAGGGCACTGGGAGGGCACTGGGAGGGCACCAGGAGGGGCACCAGGGGGCACCGGGACCGGTTCCTTGGGGAGGGCCAAGCCAAGGTCTTGGGAGGTCATGGCATGGTCAGTGGGAGGTCTTGGTGGGCAGTGGGAGAAGGTTCTTCAAGGTTTGAGAGGGAGAGGGTCAACCCAAGGTCTTGGTGGAGCATGGAGGGGTCAACCCAAGGTCTTGGTGGAGCATGGAGGGGTCAACCCAAGGTCTTGGTGGACCATGAAAGTCTCAACCCAAGGTCTTGGTGGACCATGGAAAGGTCAACCCAAAATCTTGGTTGAAAGGTCAATCCAAGGTCTTGGTTGACCACGGAAGGG